GTTGAGTGTATTAAGTTTTGTCGTTTATACGTGTGAATGCGTTGTTACTTTCTCCTAACGTATAACTATAAAGTATTTTATACGAGATACGTGTTATGTGTATATTTTGTTGTTATGTGTGTGAATGTATATTCACTTTCTTCTATCTTACAGATATGATTATTTCTATATGAAATACGTGTTATGTGTGTGTGCCTCATCTGTTATATGGAAAATGTATTGATCAAGCATGCTATACAGGTTTTGAAAATATGTATAAAAATGTATGTTTTTATCTACTAATATGTTGGGTAGAACATGGGTAGATAGTTGGTGTGTAATAAACAGATGAGAGGCCTCGTTGTTGTTTTGATCCAGTCATCTAGCGGAATTTAGATGACGACCACGGACTTTTCTAGATAGTCCAGTGGAACGCTAGCAGGCTCATAACCTGTAGGTGTTAATGAACTTGGGTGTTCATTCGCTGTATTCCATCCCCCTCATGGTTGCCTTATTTGACTTATATTGCTGAGGAAACCCCGCAGCATGTGTTGTCACCCCGATGAAAATATTCTTAGATTAGGTCCCTTGTGTTAGTTATTTTAGGGACGTAAAGTGAGAATAACGGGAATGGGTAACTGGGTTATTGTTGGTTGATAATAATTAATTTAATTATTTATTGTGGGTTGAAAACCCTATATGCTCACCAGGCTCCCAAGCCTGACCCACTCAGTTTTATTTGTATTACAGGAAGTGGCGCAAGGGCGTAAGATGGATGAACCATCAAGTTGTTTTGTTTACAAGTCTGTATATGTATATTTGTTGAATGACTTGTAATGTTATCGTTTATGCTTATTGGTCTATATCGGAACATGACACCCCGAGTTTTGATTATAATGAAAATACATTTCTTTTATGAAATGCTTCGGTAAACATTGTTTTATCATGTTTTGTTTTTGGGAACAAATTCCGCAACTCTTTCAAATCAAAAGGATTTACTCTGAAAATATTTAAAAGCATAAATGAAAATCGGTATTTTCTGGCCGAGATTTTGGGGATGTCACAGTTAGGTCTAGGAAAACCTGGTGAGATACATATGGTTTTCAACCCATAATAATTTAATGACAATAAGTAATATCATTCTTGTAAACAACGTTGTCAGATAATATATATAAATTATGACCTAAGACCAACTACCCAACCCAACAGATCCTAAAGCAATGATTATTTGGAGGAATCACCCAACCTAATTGTCTGAGTAAATGTTTGACTATACTGCTAGGTGAGTCCTTGACCAGTGTAATGTATGTCATATAAAGGCAATCGATGTTCAGAGATTTGATAAATATGGTATCCTATTTTATCTATGTACATAGGTTATAAATCCATGCTAGCAACGTAATTCACTAGGCTTCCTAGAATAGTCAAGTGTTGTCATCTACTATGGTCGATGACCAAGACATACTTGCTAGTTGTCTGATATGGAACCACCATTTTTGGTCATCCAAGAAAGAGGAGGAATTCACTCCGTTTTGATCTCACATTCTATCCCAACTATGAGACCTAACCAATATCATGCTTAATTTGAACTAAGCAACCTTTACAAGTCTTATTCTTAAACCTAAGGCAAATCCTATAACTAAAGGTAATTGATTCCCAATGCAGTTTCTACTCCAATAGTGTTATCGTATTTATACAAATAGCACATAACACAGATAATAAAGATAAACATTTAATATTACCTAATAATACTAATACTTTTTAAATTAATATTATGTTCTCGATAATAACTACACACTCACCTGATAAAGTGTCTAGTGATTGGTGAATCGGGCAGAGCTTCGCCTTACACCTTTTTTCAAAAGACCTAGATGTATAGAAAGCTAAGTCTTAGTATAATTTCATACTTCGTGGAACTATTATCCTAAGGGTTTAGATTCCTAAATAATCTCAAAGTCTATTTCAAGATCTATCAAGTAAGGATCAGCAAGGCAGGACAGTTAGGAGGCAGGACCATTTCAGCATATAGCTTTTCTAAAATCTAACAACCAAGCCATGTGACCATTCTAGGCTCCTCTCATGTAAGTAGATCAATCAGTATAATGACTTGGGACTATTGATAAATCTTAGTTATAAGTTCTTCGTAACAACTTATAATTATAACTATAAATTACATGGAGGCAGAGTAAGTGTAGCTCACTTACAAAGTACTATAGATGAGAACCAGGATCTAATCGGGCAGAATACTGACTCGGGATCTCCTACTCGAAGGCTACTACTCATATGAGTATGTAGGAGTGTCGCAGGGGTTCATCGCAAAATAGAAACAAAGGAAAAAGGGACTAAAACTGAAGAATTATCAAGAGAGAATGGATGTAGGGTGTAAGAATGAAATGTTATACGAATTAGGCTATTTATAGACTAGAAAAAGAAATATGCACAACACATGCCATAGGGTGCATCGTGCTCTTGGTCGGAACATAGTGACGTGGCAAAATGCTGGTCTAACACGTGGCAAAAAGTGGGTGGCGCTTTATGGTCTTGTCGGGAGCACCACGCTTCTGATGCGCACGCGTACTATTTTTTAGATTTTCAAAATCATGTATCTTCTTTATAGAAGCTTTGATTTTGATGTTCTTAAATATCCCCAGAAAGTTCTCGATGAGATCTACAGCTTTCATTTAGACTCTGTCGGCTAATTTTGATTTCATATTTTTTACACAGGCTTAGACTGTTAAAGCCCGTATAAAATGCATAACTCTTTCATCTGGTGTCCATTTTCGACAGAATTTATATCAATGGACTCTTATTAACGAGATCTTCAACTCTCGTTTAGATTGTTTTGGATAAAAAATGACCGATCTAAAATTCTATTTTTAAGCTGTATACTGGTATGTTAAATCTTAAAAAAAAAACATCATAACTTCCTTTCACGAAGTCAAATTTAAACGTTCTCTGTATGCATGCTCTCGGTTTAATGATTACTACGACTTTCGTTTAGATCACTTACGGTAAAAAGTAATTTATTAAAAATTTACTATTTACGAAACGTAGAGTCGTGACAATTAAATCACAAAACTTCAAAGAAGCATAACTTCCTCATATGAAGTTGGATTTGAATGCTCCTTATATCTCTGGAATCCCTATAACATATACTACACTTAGGTTAAGATTATTTGTCCTAAGTAATCTTATATCTTCAACGAGTATTTTAATCTTATTTATCATATTATTGAATACTTATACAATTCCCATAAAGTATCATATAAAACACATAAGCATAAAAATCTATGAATATTTCTCATTCATTCATATAAAGATTACAATAGTTAACCAAAGTGATTATAGACTATAGGTAATCTAGCAGGAAACACGCGTGTTACATCGCTAAAGGTGTTGAGAACTCAAGAGTATCTGGACTAAGGGGTGGAAAGACCTCCAGAGGATTCGTGTGAAGTTAGGATGAGGAAATGGATGTAAATCGAGGGTTTATATAGGTTGAAAGGCAGTGGGCACCGCGCACCATGTCCCTTGTGCGTCGCGCATCTGTTCGGCTAGGATGACATGTCGTTCTTTGTATGGTGCCACATGTCGAGCATCTGGTGGAGGGTCGGTGCGTGCCGCACATGCTGTCTATGCGCATGGGTGCATGTGAAAAAATCTGAATTCTTAGAAAATCCATAACTAATTCATATGAGCTCCGTTTTCGATGGGTTTTATATTCATATATAGCTATCGACAAGATCTACAACTTTCATTTAGACTCCATCGACTAATTTTGACTTTATTTTTAAAGTTATATTTTTAACAAGCTTAGACTGTTAAAGTTCGTTAATATTTTATAACTGTCTCATACGATATCCGTTCTCGACTGTCTTTATATCAACGGATAGATATTGACAAAAACTCCAACTCTCGTTTAGATTTTTTTTCCTAACAATCAACCGATTTCAATTTCGATTTCTGAGTCGTATACGGCTACGCTAAAATATTAGAAAAATCATAATTTCCTCTCACGAACTTAGATTTGGGTGTTCTATATATGTACATAATCATCATCACATATACTATAACTTCGGTTAAAATTATTTATCCTAAATAATCTTCTGTCAAAATATGATTTTATCACTTATTTGACTAGCCCGTATCTACGGGTGTAACATTTCACTTTAAGTTCTATTTTTATAGGATCGGACCATATATGTGTGAAAAGGATGGAATCTAGACTCTTTTAGCTTGGATGTCTATTCTTGTTTATAAAAACAAGTACAACTTCACTAGTGGAAAGCATGTCACCGTTGAAGACATTATGAAGCAGCACTAGGCCAATAGCCAAATTCGGGCGCCATTATTACACTCGATACGATTAAGAGGTTTTTAATTTTGATAATACATATTTAATATCCAATATTCCTTTAAAAGATAATCTTAATTTGATATTGTTTTGTAAAGAATGTGGATGCAGGTGATGCAAAAGAACTAATGGTCCACTAGGTCAAATTACAGTATTCTCTTATTTGAAGTTAACAAGTAAGTTTTGTGATTTCTCTTTAACTAATTCAAACTCTTCGAACTTTGAATTAATTACATTGTGACATAACTTTGAACACAGACATAAAGGGGGTACGATCTGATGTGGCGAATGTTACAAGTGCTTATGAATTCGAATACAAAGATCTCATTGAATGTTTGTATTCAGAGAAACACACATAGGAGTTGAATCTTACGATTAATTTTGTTGTCATCAACATTATCCTTCTTCCAGATGCATAAGATTTTTTAAAATTTTTACTTCAAATTAAAAGTTCTCATAACCGAACAATGATTTAGTAATTAATCTATTGTTTCTTTATTTTAATTATTAGGAGCGAAAAGTAATTTTGCATAAAAAACAATCAACTTCTCAAAAAAGAGATTCAATATGGATAACACCATCCTTATTCTTTCATAAGAACATATGAGGTCACACCCTCCTTAATCCTTATTCTAAACTTATTCATTCAAAGTTACGTAGCAAGACTTCATGGACAAAACACAACCTTGTAGTTAGTTCCACCAGGACAAGTAAACAAACTAGACTCATCATCTTGAGGGTAGCTATAAGCATCAGGACACCTATCCTTAAAGAACTTCGAATACTCAGTAGGTCCACAGCTACCACGTTCAATCGTGCAACAATACTCAACAGTATTAAAAACCGTGCATGGGTTATTACATCCTCCCTTAGTTCGCAATTGTTCAGGGCACTGACCATTTATATCAGCAGCACACCTCATAGTCTTGCATGAAGCACCAACTGGGCTAAACTCCATCGGGATATTGAACCCATCGATGACAGATATGTCAACAAAGTCATCGTTGTTGAATTGGTTAAGAGCAAACTCAGCTAGGGTATTGGGTGGTGCTCCATAACCATTACATTCAAGCATTCCATTACAGTCGCCTGTATCACATTTCCCTCTTCCATTTGCATCAAAGTTGCAACCTGTTCTTCCCCAGATACGAGCTTTAGGTGTTCCTGGTGCAACTGTGACTTGCCATGATTGACCTGTTTCAAGCTGTTTACCTCCACCAGTTGAGACAGCGGCCCACACTGTGTATGGACATTGGTTTATGACATCGAAGTTGGCTCCTTGAGTGAAAGAGAAGAAGAAGATCGAAAGAATAGTGAAAGGAATGAGAGAGATTTTAGGAGTTGTCATATTTTGTGTTTATGGTATATATGTATTGTTGAATTGTGAGTTAAAATTGTATTTTGTTAGAAGGGTTTATATAGAAGAAAGATGGCATAAGTTAGGCATGTAAGTGAGTTATTTTCCATAGAATTTTCAATGATTATGAGATGGCTTTGGAATTTACGTTTGAATTTTAAACATATATAAGTCCAAAGTTTGGAAGAATTTGGAAGTATAGGTTGATTAATAGCAAAATGTTGATAAGATAGAAAAATGTAATTAAGAATAGTCAAATAAACATAAGAAAATAGTTACGTCTTCTAGACATTGAATTTTCCTTTGCAGGGGAGATTAACCAAAAATCACATTTCTTAATTATATTTAATTTTTTGAGCAACTCCAAAATTAGGTCGGTTAGCAAAGTTTCAAGAAGAATGACAATCATTTTTTTTAACCGGGCGAGTTAGTTGTTAGTGGTCTGAACGAATTTCCATGATGGGCCTTCCACCGGCTATGGGATCACCACCTCCTTGTTAAACACCAAAAGAAGTGAAACCTTCATGACTCGAACTCAAGGCGGATGAGTTGACTTCAATCCCACTTGAGCTAAAAAAACTTATGAACCTAAAAAATTTAAAAGAATTATATTTTGAATTTTTTACAAATTTCAAAATTGATCTTAAAATTAAAGAAAGACAAGCTTTATATTGCAAAAGAAAAAAGGTATGATTGTTCTAATTTTGGATAAAACCTAATTAATTGGCCAATACGCGATTGTTATAATTCAAATGTAGAATTTGAATATTCAGATTTCTAGATTGGTTTAAGCAAAATCCAAATTAATCGTTGAATTTTAGTTCATTTAAATCACTAAAACCATAAACAAATAGTTCATTAAATCGAATAACAATTATTTAGATATTTATTTTTATGATATATCTTTAATAACTTTAACAATTTAACATAGTTGTTTAGAAAAGGTTGAGACGGAGAATTTGGAATTTAGAATTGTATTAGGTCCTAAATTCATTTAATCGACAAACAAAACTTTTTAAATAGATTTTCATATGTCAAAAAATAAATTTTATCTTTTAATTTTAAAACTGCATATAATACCAACCAACTGAAATTTAATTTGATTGATTTGTATAAGATTTTAATTTTATATAAATTATATGGATGTGTAAATTAATAACCAAAATCAATTTGAGTTAGATGGAATCATATCAACTTATCAATTCAAACTAAAAAAAAAAAAAAAAAAAAAAAAGCAATCCAACCTAATAAATAAGTATCTTTTTGTCACATGTTATATTTTCTTTCATTTTGACATATGATATTTTTTTATCTAATTTTGATTACTTATTTTTCACTTGTCATGTTTTTTAATTGTGAGTCCTCATATTATGAACCAACTAGTAATCAAACAATAACAATGAATCAAATCAGAATGAATCAAGAAGAAGAAGATGCAATATCGATCCAAATGCACACGGTTTTATATTAATCGAAATCGTCAGGTACAAATGATCTTACACACAACAATGACCGAAAACAGCTAACCCAAAACTGGTCATCTAAGTCCCTATATATAGAGAACACAAACAACAACCTAGTTTACAACCAAAAACGCGATAGGACCGAAAATGGGACGTTTTCGGTCCACCCCACCAAAAACTCAAATCAAGCCCTAAACAAAACAAGAAATGCCTATAAAACATATATGCCTAGCACAAACCAACAAATTATGTCCTAACAGTCTCCTCCTTGGTTTGTTGCTAGCATGAGTTTAAGGCTTATAAACTATCATCACATCAGATTTCCCCATGCGCCAGCTCACATTCTCTTGTTGATAATTTCAGCGACCATGCCAGTAAACTCTTTAGCAGCAACCTCCAGAATATCATTATTGACCAAGATCTGATGCTCTGCCAAAATACAGATATCATGCTCACAAAACTACAGGAGATCCTTTGCTTCAACAAGTCGAATCTCACGAGTCGGCAGCTTGATGACAACGGTGGTTGTGACCTCATCAAATACCCAGAATTCTATGTTCCGTAGAGAACTGTCATGTAACTATGGAATAATAGGAATCTTTATCATCTGTTTTGTAGGAGGCCACATCACATTTTTCACAGTACGGTTGGTGTTGGGATCAAGTACTCCCTTGGCTTTCTTGACAAAAGACTTCGCAGTCTTCATCCCATTGAACTTTTTCTTTACTTGGTTCTTCAAAAAGAGCTTGAAGTTAGTTCCACGGGGATCGTTCGATGGGTTGTGGAAGGGAGCCTCAGACAATTTTGTAAGATCAACTTTAGTCCAAGAACTAAAGTCATTTTGATGCGTATAATACTCCATATTTCCACTTTTCCTCCTGACTGCCCAGACATTCTTCTAGTCATGAAACCCCTATACCATAATTTCCAACCTGTCTCCATACTTGGCTTTGAACCGTTTTTTTTCGAGCTCAATCACACTCAACTGGGGCTGATCACCACGAGCGTTTTTATCATAATTTTTCATGAAGAGAAATTCCCCTTTTCTTTGAGTAGAGGTTCCCTTTTGAGTTTGCTTCAATATGACTCTGTGATCAGAATTGACAAGTTCATTTTCAAATCGGTCAACGATTTGAGTTGCAGTGATATGGCGCAGAACATCTTAAGGAACTAGGGCAGAAACGCTAGGGGTAGCATCATCTTCATTAGGCTCATTGACACATGTTTTGAATTTGTCACCAAAATCACTAATTAGTTTATTCTTCAAATCAAAGTATCCGTCGGTGAGAGCACCGAGATTGAGCTGCAAATCAGAAATTTGTTTCAACTTTTGAGAGTTTTCCTTTTTGAGCTCGGAGACTCTAATGTCTAGAGTTCCAATCAAAACATCCTTCTCAATAAGCTTCTGATTTAAGATCCTGATCTCTTCCTTTATCTCAATAATTTCTAGATCTTCACTAGTGGAGCTCCTTGCACCTATAGATATGCCTTTTCCCTTGGATGCAGGGTCAACACCTTCTTGGGCTAAAAACCTAGCCAGCCATTCGAGAAGTAGCTTCATGAGCAGGTTGGGGTGCTGAGGAGCCACCAGGAGCTGACGAACTTCCGACTTTAAAGGATGTATGAATAACAATGGGCCCCTCATGCAACATTTGGCTATCAACATGAGCTGGTTGGGTTGGTGTAACGGTTGTGGTTGATTGTTGAACAGTCTGAGATGGTTCCCTAATGAGCACTCCCGACCTTGGATCTGCTTGTCTTCTTTTAAGTGGAGGCTGGGAGGCTTGAGACATTTCCAGATCACTTTCAGATGGAATGATGGTTGGAGTAGCAGCTGCTCGGGGAGGAATCCTCGCAGTTGAATCCAATTTAGCAATGATGTCTGCCATTTGATTAGATGTTTGAAGTGGTAGCTTGAGAATATTTGTGTCTCCCTTAGTCTCAATTGTAGGATTCACAACATCATTGACATCATCAAAGAACGAACGGATATCATCATTACTTAACTCGAAATCAAAGAAAAAATATTCATCATCAAAACCTGGTGCATCACCCCCCTTGATTCATCCCAACTCCTTCATTATCATAATTATCAATCTCATCATTATCGTCATCAACCACATTAATTACAGATACATGTTCCTCTGCAATAATTGCTATAGGAGGAACAATGTCATCTTCAGGCTCAGAGACTGTATCATCATCTTCATCATCTGAAACATTTTCTAGTTCAGAAGCTTCTTCTATTTCAGCAAAACGACCAAACTTTACCAAGGGACTCATTCCTTTAAACATAAACTTTGAAATATTTCGGTTCTGCTTCATCAGTCCAAAGGTGTTTGGAGTTAAGGATTTCAAATCCAGGGTTTCACCTTTCCTTTCAACTTCTGGATATTGATCATTAAAGATCATTTGAAGAAACCTTGGATACATCATAAATACGTCCTTCTTCTTCAATTGTAGGTTGCTCTTCATCTCATGGAATACAAGTCTTGAGAAGTTGAAGTCTAGATCCATAATCATGGCAACAATGGCACTGATGGATGAAATAGATAACTCATCTGATCCCCCCCTTTCTTCCTGAGATGCAAATAACAAAGGTGTGGGCAAGAAAGCACCAATTAGGAGGGAACAATTTCTTTATTGTTGGAGGGAAGGTTTCTTCATATCCCAGCTTTTCTAGAACCTCCAAGATCAGATCAACTTGAATTTCAGTTGGGGAGCTAGGCTGATCTCCAAAGTTAAGAACTTCTTGGATAATTTGTTCAGTCACAATAACATTCTCCCCCTTTACAATTGATTCTATCGAGCATGCTCCATTTGCTCCTTCTTGATTAAAAAAGGCTATCTCCCAAACTCCACTCACCAAGCTTTTGTAGATGACGGGATTTGATCGAATTGAATGAGTGATCCCGCAATTCTTTAACCCATGGACCATAGACTTGAACTCTTGATGAATGTTGTGGTTGTCAGCAAACTTCATTGCAGCCATTTGTCTGCATAACCAAGTCAAGTAAGAAAATCAAAATATTAAACAATTAAGATCAATTTTCTCAAATAATTAACTTTAATTAATTAAGGTCGAATTTGGTCAACCAAAGTCAATCAGGCCGCAATTAGATTTGATCCTAGTCAAAGATAAGTTGATTAAGGGTTTTCGGCCAAAAATGCTACACTAAAAACCCAAAAAAAACATTTGAATATGAGTTTTCGGTCCCAAACGGGTTTTCGGCCGAATACGATTTTCATCCGCAAATGGTTTTCGGCCGGAAATGGTTTTCTATTTCATTTTGACGTAAAACTCCGTCAAAATCGCGTTTTTTCTTCATAAACCTGCAAAACTTGATCAAATCGAATGAGAATCAGTTGTATGGAAGTCGCAAATCACTTACAAATAAGAAACATGATGTTGATAGCTTCATTTTATATACTTCTTTTTATAGTCTATTTTAGCACATTTCATTCGCATTTTAGTTAATTTCCATGCACATTTTTCTTTTTGTTATTTTATAACCATTTCGGGTACTT